AGATATAGCAAATAAGTCTTTGATGAAGGGCGAGCGAAAGTATTTCACTTTGTTAATAATCACGGTACATCTCAGTTTGTAAGCGTAAACTATCTCTTTTTCAATTTGGATGACCACTGTATTCTCATCTTATTTCCTGATGATCGTGGTTTTTAGATAAAGTTAAATGTTAACCGTTATGTGCTATCTTGTTGGCTTTCACTGATTAGAGTTATAGCCAACTGATCTCTTCTCAAACATCTGAAGTATGAACTTTGCTTTGTAACATTAACCTGATTTACCATCAAGCCTTGCTAAGTTAAGCTAGGCAAATGGTACTGGTATCTAGACATATATGTGTATTTACACAGAAAAAATTCACTGAAATGCATTACAATCTAAATTGCGAGGACTCTCCAAAATGTAGCCGCACCCGTGTCGGATCCTTAAAAAATGCACCACTTTTGGAGGATCCGACACGTATCCGGACACATTTTCGGCGAGTCCGAGCAACATAGATTACAATAGTGTGGAAAACCTTAAACTTGAATTTCACTTTGAGTGAAGCTCTTCTATCTGATTTTTGTCGAGGCTGAATTTTATCATGGACATTTGTGGCTGAATTTCATATATTCATGTTGATGCTGAACTATATTATTACAAAAATTCCAGGATGGAGTGATAACAGATCTGCAAGAAACAATGGATGCCCTTGTTCATGCTGCGGATTTGCCATTGTCAATTCTTATTGTTGGGGTAGGAGGAGCAGATTACAAGGAAATGGAGGTATGTATTTAATATTTCTCCACATGTAGCATATCATGGTATTAAATCGACTAATGGTCCCATATTGTATGTTCACAGATTTTAGATGCTGATAAAGAGAGGCTTGAATCAACACGTGGACGTGTTGCAGTGCGTGACATAGTCCAATTTGTCCCATTCCGGGATGTACAAAGTAGGTCATTGTGATGCTTAACAACGAGCTCTCTCTGATTGAATAGGATAAATCAAACGTCCTCTTCCAAGACTGACACTCGTGTGAGTAGGCTTTCGCTGTATGTGATCTGATTCCTTTGCATTCATTTGCAGGTGGAGATGCCTCGATCCTTCAATCACTTTTAGCTGAATTACCTTCCCAGTTTTTGGAATACATGCGGCTCAAAAGGATCCAGCCAACTTTATGATCATACAAGAATTGTACATACAAATATTGATTCGTGCATTGCTCCGTTATAATTGCCATTTTCGAGCTTTTTTCCCACGTTGCCAATAGTTTTACTTTAGGGTGTCTGATTACGTCTTTTCTTTCATATTCCCAGAAGCTTGTATAATTTATTATGTTTCTTTATAATCATGTATTTGTTGATTTTGTCGGTAAAATTTTCTTATGGAAGTTCACTGCTTTTGTACTGATCGAGTAAATTCAATCTCGTTAGATGAGAGGACGCTGCAATTACTTCATTTTGTGAGTATCTACACATTACTTGGCTATTTAATCCCAAATACTTAAGAAGCTAGCCACTGAGCTAGTCCTTAAGGTGCGGCCCTTCCCTCGGACCCTGTATGAACGCGGGATGCTTTTATTTAAGGAGCTAGCCACTAGAAAATGCTGGGTTTAGATCGTAAAAATGCTTGCTTGAATAGAGTGCTTCTATGTTTGCATGATACATGAGGATAGAATCAGAGCGTTTTGCATGATACATGAGGGATTCCTTGATCGGACCAAAGAAGCAACGTCAGTTTGATATATAGGAGTAACATTATTTCTTCCGTTTGACTATATGTTATGTCCAAGCTATATTAGTCTTTGCTTTGACACAATCAACGTTCTATTTTAGCTCGTCAAATTCTCAAATTCAAAGTCAAATTGTTGAACTATGTAATCATGTCACCTCAACCTTCAACTTTTTCTTTCTCTTTATTCCCTTTAAAATGTTATCCGTGAACTTGTTAATAAGGTTCTCATGTTAAAACTTTAACCACCAAATGTGGTTTTATTTGAACAAGAGACACTAGAGGTGTGTTTGGTATAATGGAAAATGTTTTCTTGGAAAACAATCTTATTTATTTTTCGGTGTTTGGTATGCAAATTAAGGAAAATAACTTCTCAAGAGTATTCATAAATAATTTAGATACAATAAACATGAAACCATAAACTTTCGAACCAACAACCTTTCGGACCCACCAATTTCATAAACTTACGAACCACTAAACTTTCGAACCCGTAAACTTTATAATTTCTAAACCCGTAAACTTCCAAACACATAAACCTCCGAACTCATAACTTTGAAACTT